CCTTTTGCGCCCTTCTCGGTCGTGGGACGAAGGTGTCCCTGTCTGTGCCAGGGGGGGTGGAACTAGATCATAGAATCATGGAATGGCTTGGGTGGGAAAGGACCTTAAGATCTAGACCATGTTGCCCAAGGCCTCATGCAACCTGGCCTTGAGCACTGCCAGGGATGGAGCATTCGCAACCTCCCTGGGCAACCTATTCCAGTGCCTCATCACCCTAATAGGAAAGAATTTCCTTCTTATATCCAATCTAAACTTCCCCTGTTTAAGTTTTAACCCGTTACCCCTTGCCCTGTCACTACAGTCCCTAATGAAGAGTCCCTCCCCAGCGTCCCTATAGGCCCCCTTCAGATACTGGAAGGCTGCTATGAGGTCTCCACGCAACCTTCTCTTCTCCAGGATGAACAGCCCCAACCCTCTCAGCCTGTCTTCATACAGGAGGTGCTCCAGTCCCCTGATCATCCTCGTGGCCATTCTCTGGACTTGTTCTGACAGCTCCATGTCGTTTTGATGTTGAGGACACCAGAACTGCACACAATACTCCAAGTGACATCTCACAAGAGCAGGATAGAGGGGCAGGATCACCTCCTTCGACCTGCTGGTCACGTTCCTTTTGATGCAGCCCAGGATACGGTTGGCTTTCTGGGCTGCGAGCGCGCACTGAAGCCGGCTCATGTTCATTTTCTCACCGACCAGCACCCCCAAGGCCTTCTCCGCAGGGCTACTCTGAATCTCTTCTCTGCCCAACCTGTAGCTGTGCCTGGGATTGCTCCGACCCAGGTGTAGGACCTTGCACTTGTCATGGTTAAATTTCATGAGGTTGCCATCTGCCCACTTTACAAGTGTGTCGAGGTCCCTCTGGGTGGCATTCCTTCCCTCCAGCGTATCAACCAAACCACACAGCTTGGTGTCATCGGCAAACTTGCTGAGGGCGCACTCAATCCCACTGTCCATGTCGCCAACAAAGATGTTGAACAAGACCGGTCCCAACACTGATCCCTGAGGGACACCACTCGTTACTGGTCTCCAGCTGGGCATTGAGCCATTGACCACAACTGTTTGCGTGCAGCAAAAGATCTTTGAGGCCCCTTCCAGTCCACACCACTGTATGATTCTGTGTGTCTGTGGTGGCCACTGTCTGGAGCCAGCGAGAGTCAAGGAGCCCAGAGTGGCAAGGGAGTGTAAAGACTTTTGAGTGTGGTGGTAGGCTGAGGAGGGCTTGCAGAGCAGTAAGTTTGGAGTTAGAAGGACTTGTATGGGCATAGAGGACTATGGCAATTTTGTGTAGCCAAGGCTCCCAAAGCTTGTGACTGACCGTAGAGAATAGTAGGAGCAAGGTGAAAGGGGCCTGCTTTTCAGCCTTTGGCAGCTGTTAAAGATAGTTAGTAGGAGACTTTCCAAGCTATCCTCAAGAAACTTGTCTTCTGGCCCTATAGGCAGTGTCATGAATATAATGGTGCTTGATGCTACTGCCTGGCCTTGTGCTTCTCAAAGGTTCTTAATGCCCAGTATCAAGGTCTCCAACAGCAGACGCCAAGGGAAAACAGAACCTTTCACCACAGAAATGCACTTAGCCTTCAACAATGTGCAACTGAGATTTGCTTAAACCAGCACTGTGCCCGTGGCACTGCGTAGACATATCACATCCCAGGAGCTGAGCCTGTGAGCTGGTGGGGCTGGGCTAGTTATGTCAAGGTCTGAAATTTCCTCTCCACCTAAAGTGGCTTTCCTGAGTCCTTGCACTGATTGTGCTGTTTTGATCTCCACAGTGCAGGGCATGCTGAAGGTCTCGGTGTTAGCCAGCCAACTGAAAGTGCACACAGCCTCCTTCCTGCAGGAGTTCAGGACCCAGCTGAAATGCCTACGTGAGCCTTGTTTATCAGGAAGAGGCTTTGTAACCTTCTGTAGGAGGAAATAGGCAGCACTGACCTCAAGGCAGTTTAGTCATCTAATGCTGTGAAGGTTGATTTTTATCCTGGGAAGATACATGCATTTCTTGAGGAAGGTCTCTTAGTAACAGCAAAAGCATGTAGTGGATCCAGGCTGTATAGTTGACACAGCATAAGGACAGATGTGTGATGTGCACAAAGGCAGTATTACAGACCTTGGTTGTAGCACCACAAATAGTTTTTGTGCCACAACTGAGGGGCTCTATTAGGGCAACTGTGACTCTAGAGATCAGAGAGTATTTGGAAGGCATTAGGTTGGCACTGGATAGTGGCAGAGGGCTTTGAATGTCAGTCTCCATCTTCTAAATTTCTGCACTGATATAATCCTAGCAGATAGCATCCATTCTGTGTTGGGTTTCCTGACTTGATCCCATAGATTGTTACTGATTACACAGGACTCTGGTGTATTTACAAGTACTTGGGGCTAGTAAGTCAAGTTCGTAGTATGGGTTAAAGCAGTCTGTGATGTGGAGGTGCAAGGGTTAGGATAACTGCTATGCTGCATGATATGATAACAAGGAAGTTATTCTCTTTTCTAAAGCTTTGCATAGATACTGAAAAATCTGAAAAGGATCAGCCTCCTTTAGTATCTTACGAGTGAAGCCTTGGAGAAGAGAGTCTGTGTTGAGCTAGCTGTGTGGTCTATGCAAAAACTATGCAAAATCATGTGGAAGGTTTTGTTGTTTTGTGGATTTTTTTTTCACCAATTCTGTGTCCTTGGGCTTTGTGCAGAGCAATTTGTACAGCTGAGGGGTGTTGTCTGGGCTGCCAGTCGCTGAGAATTTGAGGCTGAGACCAAGTGTCTTGTTTTTCCTTTGCAGTTGAAGGACAGTAGATTGAGATTGGATGTCTGTGTTATAGATCAGAAGGAAAACCAAAAGGACATTTGGAACCTAAGAATAGAACAGCATGAGATGTGTGGGATCCAGCACATCCCTCTCCATATGGCAGTATCTGTTAATAACCTTATGGGGCAATGTGAGTACAAGTGTGCATCTTTCAACAGATTCTGTAGCTTCTCATGAAATGACGGAGTGGAGATCTTTGACTCTGGGGTTGTCTATAATCTTCACAGTTGAATCCAAATTCTGGCTTCAAAACAATAGAGTTGGCCACAATCCACTTAATTTCTTCAGTAGCCTAAGGCAGTTTTTAATAATTGACCTCATTTCACAGAATCACATAATTATTTAGGTTGAAAGGAACGTCAGGAGATCATCTGGTCCAGCCACCTGTTCAAAGTGCAAATAACTGTTCTTTTACGGTCCTAAGATAAACCAAAAATTCATTTCAAGCAAAGAACAGATGTGATCAGTTTCCTTCAGCCTGCAGTTTGAGAGTGATGAGCGGTGGGGAGGTTGTGTTTATAGGGGAAAACATTTAGGTAGTCTTACAAGCAGGTATTATTATTATGAGATGTGTTAAAATACTTCCCTAGCTTTTAGATCTGGGAAGCTGAACCAGACTGTCATTATCTTTCACACAGCAGGGACGGAATTATTAATCACCAGACTCTCATGTGGCCAAAGCTATGCTTATATGAATCCAGTGACACTACAGCTGAAGCTCTGTACGTGGTGAGTTGTCCAGTGTGTTCAGAGCATAATACAGCAGCACAGTGCTTGGTGCACAAATAGGACCTTGCATTCAGTTTACAGGGCTAAAAGCTTAGAAAACACCATATTTCACTGTAAATTGAATGTGCTTTATCCATAAACTTATTCTGCCATTTATGAAAACACTTTTTAGGAGAGAAATCAATTTTCACCTGGAGGGATTTGAAGAGAAGTCATTAAAGAAATAATTTTTCCATGTAGAAGTTTTCCTAGTAGAGAAAGAACTGGATATGAAAATATATAGGCAGAATGTATCTGCTGGACATACTTCTTTCCTCCTGCTGCCTTCCCACGTATTCAGGCTCATAATGTCTATGCGGCAACTCTGAAAGGTGTAGACATAGAAAAGAAATTCTAAATTAACCAGCTGCATATGTTTGTCCCTGCTTTTAATCCTGCAGTCACGTTGAAAAGTGCATTCCACAGTTTATATTTCTCCTTTTTTATTCCTTTTACCAATCCCATTCTTTTTGTAGGTTCTTTCTGAACACATCTTGCAGGTGTGCAGTGCCTTGAGTGGCGTCCACCTCACAGAATGTTGGTGTCTGCAACTTTCTTTTGAGAAAGCCATTGTAGGTTTCATTTATAGGCAGGGAAGCCCAGAAAGCAGTTCAGCTGACCAGATACAGATTGAAGGAGGTTGGACTGTGCTCTAGTTGCCTTTGTTTAGGTCTCCATGGTTTGTAAAAGGGATGCAGGGTGGTATTCTTGGCTTCAGAGATCTGTGTAGTAATGCCATGTATATAGTGATGAATGTGGCTTTATTCAAGTTTAACCAGATTGCCCGGTTTTCTTGCTCTTGTCACTGTAAATACGCTGCTTCAGCCTCTGAAGGTGTTTTCACTCACATAGTGGTCATTCCTGTGAGTGACAGTTAGCTCATCCCTTGTAGCTATGGTCTCTGGTGGCTATGCGAGCTCTCTGCACTAAACACAGAGCTAGTCAGCAGCATGTGACTACTGATTTCCTTTAATCAGTGAGCGCTGCTTGGACTACAACGTCCCAGTAGAATTGCATGAGAGGTTTCCTCTGTAAGTACTGTTCCTTTCAAAATTGCTTTCCAACAGCACACTGAAGCACACTTAGAAGCAGCGAAAGGAGTTTTAGCAGGCAGGCAGGCAGGCATCAGTAGCATGCTGCTCTGAATCTGAGGTGATAATCACTAGTTTGAATACGCCTCCATTTTCCCCTGGAGCATGCAGTTCTGATACAGGAGTGCAGGTATGTCTATGTGTGTGATTACCATCCTTTTGCACAGCAAAGCCAGTTGAACAGCATGTTTATAGAAACCGTCCTTAAGAGTGATTGCCTCTTGAAGGAGCGTAGCTCATATAAGAGGAATGGGACTGTCTCCAGCCAGCCCTGGGAGACGATGCTGAGAGCATATTGAAAAGCTGTCTTCAGCAAAAGCTTGCCAGTTTAACAACTCTGTTCACTGTTCCTATTGCACAGTGGGCTCTTTGACGCAACAGAAAGAGCTGCCTCTCTCTCTTTTTTTCTTTTTTTTTTTTTTTTGCTTCCTCTTAAATCCGCCTGGCCAATTTAAAGCTTGTGGATATTTCTTCTCCCTTGGGGAAAGCTTATGTGAGGATTTTCTTTTTTAACAGTTCATTCCATGAAACCGTTTTTTTCTTGTTTGCTGTTAGAAAATGTTGGAGCTGAACACAAGGCTTTCATTGCAGGTCAGTAGATGAACTCTTGACCAAGGCATTTAACGTTTGGGTGTAGCTTTAGCAAGCACCGCAGTCTGGGAGGAAAAACAAATTAATAAGGTCGTATCATGTGAGCCCATGTGTGCCTACTACTGGAATCGGAACCTTTTCAGGACTTCAGTGACTGAGTTCTGCGCAGATGAATTTACTGTCTTTCTTTTGTAACCACATGTACTAAATTAATATTTTATTGAGAATTGAGGTGACATCACAGTTATGTCTGTATTATTTAATTCCTGAATGTCTTTACTCCCTCAAAATGCAATAAAACTTACTGTGAATTTGAAGTATAAACTTTTTGCCTTTTTATTTTGCCAGGATTGTCTTTCTGAATTATTTTTTTTCCACTTCTTTTCAGTGCACTTTATTGGGAAGCATGTTACTCCTAAGCACATGCTGCCTGCAGGGAAGATAGTTATTTGCAGTTTTGTATTTCATCTTAGATGCTGTCAAGGGAACTAGGAAAGGATGTAAACATATTGTTAATGTCTCTCTTCAAGCTGTGTGTGAGGTAAGGCAATCTTCTTTCCGTATCTCTGAAATGAAATTATGAAGTAGATGCAGTATTTCTTTCATTTATAGTTGCTAAGATTATCCTGTTGCTATTTTTCTTGTTGGTATAATGTGAATGTATCTGTCACAAAGCTGTTCCTTGTGTATGTGACACTTAAAATCCTGTATTTTTATTTCAACAATATTTACTACATATCTGCATATTTCTATTAGCTTGTGTAACCTACATTAATGAGAGATCATTGTTGAAATTGCTTCGGTTTTCTCCTCTATTATTATCACATTAAGTTTGTGAGTGAGTGGATTTCTTGCCCTGGGTAGGCAATTCTTAGGCAAACTTTGTAAAACTGAGCTACAAATTGTTTCCACTGTGAATCACTTTCCTTGTAAGATGATGACTTTTATGGTAATGTTTAACTTAACTAGAATTGTTTTCAAACATATACAGTGCATTTTTGGTGTATTTTTTTTTTAACAGCGCTCCAAAATAAAATAGAAAAATAATGATTCGTATTGGACTGTTTATTTCCTTATCTATTTAATGTTGCCTGTTATAGGAAGCGCATATCGTTAAAAGGTTGAATCATTATTTATGAGGTTCATTACAGCTGAAAGGTGTCACTGCAATATTGGCCATGTGCAACTGCATTGCAAATGGAATTGTATGGGACACAACTGTTGGTGAGTTATGATTAGTGCCTGGGGAATTAGAAAATACTACTTCTTGTTTACGTTTCTTTTCAAGCAGTGTAAGAACTTGCCATTCAGGGGAGGTTTTTTTATCTTTTTGCCTTTTCTATAGCAAGGTTACAGTTTCTGTAATTCAGGATTTTGATGCATGCTTTCTGCAATTTTATTGTTGTTCAATCAACCTAAATCTTTGTGACACCCCTTACAAGGGGAAGCCGTTTTTAAGGCAGACATGCTGTGCTGCAAGTCGACAAAAAATTTTAATTTAGAAAAATGAGGAGGCTCATTTGCCTCCTCACATCTCTGAAGCTGTTTGCTCTTTGAATTCCAAATAGTGCTGGCTCCAGTCAAGAGATGTGTCTTTTAACCATTTTTTGAGAGGCTTTTTGCTTGTTATGGGGTAAAGAATGGTACAAGATAGAGTTACAAAGCTACAGAGAACTCTTTTTAATCTCACAGAGCAAAAATACTACTATAAGCATTTATAATACTCAAATAAATAAATCCCTTCAAAGGTGGTTTTAAAACCCATTGAGGTTTAACATTCTTCAGTCAACATCACACCTAAATCTTCTTAGCATTTTCTGTCATCTTATTTTTGGGGGTTGTAAAGCCATATCCTGTCATGGTGCAAATACACAACTTATGTCTGCAACCTGTTTTCTACTGTCAAAAAAATGAAAAATCTTATTCCCTATTGTTGAAATTATCTCAAGTTAGATATCTTAAAAAAATAAAATTAAGCAGTGTAATGAGCTAATACAGTTTTTATATAACACATTTTCTGAACCAGTTTCTCAACGAATTAGATGCCATCTCTGATCTACCGTAACTGGCAGAGGGCATTCTGGGCTGTGTTCCTTCCCTTTTGACCTCTAGTTCATGAGGTAGTCAGACCTGTTATTCAAAGGGAATCTCGCGACTAGCACACCGTGATGTGGATGTGTTGACATTTCTACTGACATTATTTTGCCAGAAAGCATGAATGGGGAAGGAGGATAAATTATGTAAATGATGTAGGTGCCTTGATGGTTTTTTTTGAATCTTTGGAGTTGAAACGTGCTGCCATGTGTTCCTGGATTCCAGCCTTCTTGCTTATCAATGGTTACTGAAAGGTATTTGTTTCCCTGGTGTTTTATAGTGCCAGCTTTCTATCTGGTCAACATAGTAGAATCTGTAGCTTGTTGCATTCCTCCTTGCATGCCCTGAACAGTGTCAGGTTAACTGGGTGCTTGTTTATTATGCTAGTGACCTGGTCAATGGATTGCCATGCTGTTAGTAAGGAAAAGCTAGCTGTTGTCTGGTCTAAATCACAGCTCAAGCCAGGTTAAGAGGAAATGCAGTAAAAACTTTCATTTGTAACAGTTAAAATAGGCAAGAGAAACACTTTTGCAAGATAGAGACAAAAAATAAAAGGCAAAATTTCTTAGTCTGTTTATACCTAGTTTATATTAGAACAGTTTTACCTAGTCCTACTGATTTGATCCTCTTTTGACAAGATTTTCTTATTTGCACATAGCTTACCTCTCAGGCAACATCCATTGGAAAAATGCCTGTTCACAGGTCTCCCATCAGTTACTCTCTGATGAAACAAGGCTCCATCATAGCATGTCTTTGAGAGCATGCCTCAGGCAATTTTCTGATTCTTGAGGAACTTCTCATTTCTTATGCAGTCTTTTCTACAAAAGTTTCCAGAGAGTGCAGTCTTCTATCCCCAGACCCATTTCATTTGTGATTATCTAGGCAAGGTGTCATCATTGTTCTTATTTATTGTTGGAGACTGAAAGTTATCTTTATTAGTATGTATTACCTTCTTACTCTTGACTGGTTAGCCAATAAGGGCATAAACCACTTCCCTTTGGGACTTTTCTCCAAAAGAAATATCTTCATGCTGTGTTGTATTCTGTACCAATGAGTGTATTAACATATTCAGTATTGTGCAGAGCTGTGACTGGCTTTTTCCTTTCACTGAGACAGAAGACTGGTTGTCTGAAGATAGCAGAGGTCTATGCCTTACTGGTTAAGGGATGAGCCCACTGACATAGGTGACAGGATAAAAGACGTGGGGGTCATAAACTGAAGTGTTAGTGAGAAATGTGTCTGTAGCACACTTGGCAAATTGCTTTTCTCTTAACTCTTCAGGGTGCAAACATTTCACCCAAATTATGTCGTTGTGTGTCCGTTTTAGGCTGAGTGTGTGATAGGCCTATCAGCACTGTTATAATATTACTAAGGAGTTATATCTGAAGAGAGGCCTTTGGCAGAATGCCATGCTGCTGGAGGGCCTAAGTGAACCCCAGTGGTTTTGCTTTTCATGCAATTGAGTGGATTGAGTGGGACCCTTTCATTGCAACTTGATTGCATTTAGGCTTGAGAATAAAGACTTGGATAAAAATACCACACACTGACTGTCTCCCACAACCTCCAGGGATCTTGGCCAGCTCAATAGCAGTTGTCAGAATCTGCTTCAGGAAATACCATGAGCCAGTTCATCAAGCTGAAGGAACTTTATTCCTTGTGTTCTACCTCAGCTGCAGCAAAACATTGGAAGTTAGGGCCTTAATATCAGGTTTCCACTTGTTTCGGCCCGTTAACTACTCATTTAAGCTATGGCTATAGGTAGTAACAGCTCAGGGGTACAGAAAGAGGTGTTGTTTCACACCTTCATTAGGAAACACAGACACGGCAGCTTGGTTTTCCAAGCTGTAATGTGCTTGGAATTCTTGATTGTGATGTTCTTTGTTTGGATGGATGCCTATTATTAAGTTTCTAGTGACTGGAAGGCATCAGAGAAATCAGTGATGAGGCTATAGAGACTTAGCATATTTCTTTCACTTTTTTCCTCAGAAATTTTGAGTCCATGCTTTGAAGGGTCATCAGTGTAACCACTTCTAAATACATTTAACTACATGGGCTGAGACTGACAGATGATCATGGATTATTTATATCTCTTCTGTAGACTGTCAGAAGCAGCCCAGACCACATAGCTTCTTGCCTTTACTAGAAGCTATGGAAGAAATGTAACATTCAGTTCTGTAAAATAAGTACTTTTCCTTACACTGAAAGCAATAGTTGGTTTGCTATTCATCCTTTTTTGTTTGTTTGTTTTGGGGGGTGTCATTTGTTGGGTTTTTTTGCTTGTTTGTTTTTCAAATGTGCAAGCTTAGCTCCTCAATTTTAGAATAGTTACAGTTCTGGATTCTGTTTTCTGACTCATCATCAACAGGTGTATGGTTTTTAGGCTGACTTGTGATACAGTAACTGTTGCATGCCAAGCAGCATTAAAGCCAATGGGAGTGTTCTTATGAATACATTAGCATTAAACATTGATAGGATCTTTATAGGATCGTAGAATGGTTTGGGTTGGAAGGGACCTTAAAGATCATCCAGTTCCATGCTCCCCTGCCATGGGCAGGGGCTTCTTTTCCTAGACCAGGTTTCTCAAAGCCCCGTCCAGCCTGGCCTTGGACACTGCCAGGGGTGGGGCAGCCACTGTAAGTTTTCCCCAGAGCTGCCTTTTCTCTTCTGCAGGCAGAACAAGCCCAGCTTTCTCAGCCTGTCTTTATAGGAGATGAACTCCAGGCCTCTGATCATCTTCATGGTGCTCTTCTGGACTTGCCACATGTCCTTCTTATATTGGGGCCTATTACTCTGCAATTGCAGCACTCAGTGGTGCTGCTTAACACAGTACTCAGTTTACCCTATGAAGCTGCAGATTTGTTGTCCCATTGAAGCCATGTAGGCATTCTTCCAGTTCTATTGGTGTCCTGCTCCCAGCTCAAGAGAAGGGGCTTGCAGAAGTGGAATGAGCATAGTAAGAACAACTGAGTTGCATGAAGCAATGCAGACATCCAAGTAAATTAATTTTTGCTAGTGATGTTTGTGAGCTAGATTGGTCAATATCCAGCAAAGATTCGGGGCGGGGTGGGAAAACAATAGGGAAAACTTCACTTATTTAGGCCACTACTGCTGTCTAGTTGTGATCCATCAGGTAAATTAGCTATTAAGCTAATTGGAAAGGTGAAAAATAGCCATTTCTCACCAAACAGGTGGAAGTTGAGGGGTTGTCAGTAGAGTGGAAAAAGATCTTTGAACATGTGTAACTGAAGGAACTGCAAAAGACTCAAGGCAACATCTCATTCAGATTTTATTTTAAATGTTTTGAAGTAGAAAAGCATGAATCATCTTCAGTAGCAAATGGAAGAGGTGATAGCTTTCATTTCCAAGCCTGTGCCTGTGATGAAGTGGGCTACCCCTCCATTTACATTATTAGTTTCATGTTGCATTGCCTTGATAACAGAGAAACAT